AATAGACTTAAAAAATTATGTGAACTATAAGGCAATAATCATGCCCTAACATTATGTACTCATTATTATGAATATCTAATTTACAATCATAATAATTTATATTTCAACCTTTATTTCAATGTAGTGCAGTATTTGTTTAAAATCATTGAATATGGTAAAAGAGTCTCTAAATAAATGAAAAAGTGAAAAGCCTCGAGTGTACAGACGAGACGATTTTGTCCTGACAGGCAGGAAATGGGGTGAAGCTGCTATTAGACCCAGCAGGTTCTGATTAACAGTCATGATGCACAGTGAATACAGCTGGGCTGTCACCCTCCCTGTGCTGTAACAGTTACTGTTAGAAGAGCTGACAGGCAAGAAGATAATATGTTGTGTTCCGTGTGGAATATGCCCCACCTGTTTGGCAATGTCTGGACCTGAATTATTTCTACAATGGAATGCTTTAACAACAACAACAAAAAAAAAAAGTAATTTAAGTTTGCATATACTCATGTGATTTGATTGAACGCGTACAACTTTACTCCTTGAGCTGTTTTTGGAACCCATGTTCATTAGTGATCTTTTTCAGCTGCATATGTTTTAACATTATAACAGTTGTCTTAATGACTACAGTAGGTTTATTAGCAAGCTATGACAACAATGAGCTTTGTACATCCTTGTAAACACCGTGTAAACCTGCAATAATCCACTTAACTGTCTGTGGTACTTTTTCAGTACATGGCAGAGATCCAGATATATTCACTCTTACCCTCTCTCTGTAATGTGACTTTTTACTTGGGTGTGTATGAGAGAGTTGGCAGTGTGGACACCCTTGGCCTGTAGCATTACTTTTTATTAAAGTCTCCATTAGAATAAATTATGAAACTGCATTCAGCGCCTCAGCTGTGCACTTACTGTATAGTATGCAATGAAATATGTGGTCACAAGCTTTGTTCCAAGTGATAGTGTGCTGCCTTCTACGGTAGAATCCTAACCGATTGATTTGTAATGGCCTACATGGGCTGCAACTCAACAGTGTCACACAAATAGCATTAGAATTAGACTAAAAGTATTTTTGTAGGCTGCAAAATTTAGATGCCTACATTTCAAATTGGGAGTGCCTCTGTAGGCAGCTCACTAGGTTTTAGAACCGCACAATAGCATCAAGAAGAGCAAAAGACTGAATGGCCATGAAGATAGATGTTGATTAATTTAGATGGATTGTGCATGCTTATATTTAACTGATTGAAATTTCAATGTCTGTCTAATTTTAATAATCTATGCGTGCCATTGTCCTCAGGGTTTAAATTGGGCCGGGGCACATAGACTGTATATTATGCATCTATTGCTGAGGCGAGGCTCACGCAGCCTCTCCAGGAGAAATCAAAATGCGCAACACTAAGAAACTCAGCATCCTGAGGTAAAAATTCAAAATGGAAAGTTTTTATATTTAAAATGCAGTTAGTTAGGCAACATCAAACAGCGTTTTCACCATTACGACTGTTTAATAGTTAAACGGTTCAATAAGCAAATATAATATTAGGTCACTTACATTTTAGTTGCATCTCACAGCAATCAGCCGATTCATTGCTGATTGATTCTGTGTTTTGAACGAATCGGTTGAATCAAAGTTTCATTAGCCCATGCATAAACATCTGATGAATATGCCGTTTGAATGAATGACTCAATGACTCACTCATTAAACACTACTGGCACTGGCGTTTTAATTTTGTTGAAAAGTATCATTCTAAAAGAAAAGAATCTCATAATATTATTTAATGCAGTTATTTTTCAGTGTAAATTATTTAATTTGACAATGTATAGATATTCACATTATTATAATTTAACCGTGGAGATAGAGGATGACATGTTCATCTGTGGCATTAAGAGAGATCCCTCTACTCATGAGTGTGGTCTTTCAACCCAGCGTAGTTTTGAAAGTCAGACTACAACCTCCAAGAGTGCCGTTATTGGGCAGGGGAGGCGTAATAGTGATGGCAGTATCACCATTCCATCCATCATGGGAATGAAAAGATTAGAGCCCAAAGACCAAGCAGAAGAGAGCAGATGTGTCGATGGAAGAGGTGCCATGGATAATAAACCAAGCCGAAGTAGGGACAAGGACAAGAAAAGAGAAGTAGGGTCAAGCACCATAGTGGAGCACATTTTGAAGGAACTGCAAGGGATTAATAAAATCCAAGAGGAGATATCAGATTTGCGACAATACCTGACGTCTGTAAGTGGCTCAGTAGATGAAGTGTCTTGCTGCGTAGATGCTGTACTGTTGGAAATTGAGGAGCTATATTCAGTTGGTGCTGTTGGGAATCCATCACCTCGAAGAGTTGTGGCTCATCAAAGAAGTCCAGGTAGGCAGAATGCCATTCCTCTCCCGCAAAGTAGAAATAGTAGCCCAGTAGTAAAGCATAAAAAATTGGAGAAGAATGAAGGTAGACCTCTTTCGGCTAGACCGAATGTGTCCGGGTGGGATGTGGAAACTGATTACCGAGATGTACCAAGAAGAACCAAATTACACAATCCCAAGGCTTCTGACAACTTGGATGCACCCTGTTCCAGATTTAAGAAGTCCAGCTACTGTCATCTTTACGGACAAGAATTTACAAGCACTAGTTCCTTATCCTCAGGTCACAGTTCTAAGAGTCGAGATCAAGAAGGAAGTTATTATTCTAGGGAGGCTGACCAAGAGAACAGTGGTTGGAGACGTTCGGAAATGCAGTTGAGCGTGAGTGGAGAAGGAGGATGGAGTGGAGACACTAGATGGAGTGAGGAGGATTACTGCTCCTGCCAGAACAGTGCAGACGAATTGGAAACTGTTGGACACCCAGATACATGGTACAAGTACAATGGTGGCGAGACCAGTCATTCATCAAGTAGCAGCTCTGAACACCTATCCTTACTGTTTGGAAACCATGATTCCCCATCCAGCTCATCCAGTGTTGTAGATTGGAGGCATCCTAAGAATCAAACTATCAGTGACATTGGCTGCGACTGGACATCAAATTGCATGTACTCTCGCAGTTCTGGATACCACACCATGGATGCATATGCTGATGAATCGTGTAGTGGGCCTTCCCGAAGCCTTAGTTGTTCAACCATTGGAATGACAGACTATGATGACGGTTGCAGAAATCTACACTCCTCTTGTGAGCATTGCCTCTGTGATGTGGATTCAGAGAAAGACTGGCCAGAGGGGGCTTGCACAGATGTGTATGACCCAGATTACTCTGAAAATACAGACACTGAAGAGTCACAGCCATCTAATCTAGGATATGATATTGTAAAGATAAGTAAAGCCATGCTAACCTTCCACTCTGCTCTAAGGGAAGCCTTTACAAAGCTTGACACACCTGAACCACAGTATCTAGATGAGGACACCAAGTCTGTAGTCCCAAGTCCCTCCAAATCCAATGACCTTGAGGAGGATAGCACCACATTCAGTGAATCAAATGCAGACACTGTTGAACCTTCTGATGGTGCAACTTTAGATCTCAGTGTGTCTTCTCAAAAAGGCATTGAAGTTTCATTCCATGGGAAGGACTTGAGGGAATTACTAAACCGGCAACGTAATTCTCAAGCCTTTGATCCTCTACTATCGACTCCTAGCACGATTTCCCCTTCACTTACTCCAACTGAATACTATGCATTAGACCACTTAGATACTGTAGAGGAACCTCTAACAGATCAGAATCTGCCATGTATTCCAGACCTTAGCCCAAAACATGTGGATCCGAGTTCAGGGATTGTTGATTCTTGTGCTCAACAAATGGCATTTGGCTCAGGTAATATCAAAATAAGTCCAGAGGGCACCAATTCAGGAACACTGGAGGCAGATGTTAATGGAAAACAGGCGGAGCATAGTCTTGACAATGAACCTGCCCTTGAAGACCCTCACCACCAGAAGTGCCTTGCCAATATTCAACGTGTGCTCAAAGAGAAGAGACATCGGCATAGATTATCCAGGATTGCCAATGCCTCAAAGAACACTTTCTCTGAGGAGGAATTTAAACAAGGTACAAAAATTGTCTTTGATTTTGGTTAGTTATACATGTAATTAAGTTGAACAAAATGTTCCTACTTCTGTTAGTCTTTGCTTGTTTAAAATACTGTTTATCAATTGTTCTTTTCTTTTTTTTTCTTGATTGTCCTGCTCTGTCTTTCAGAGGGAAGCAGGGAAGATGACCAGGTCATGATTATGTTTTGGTCAATTCTCAGTCGTGATTTCATTTTGTTTTTCCATTAATGCCAGTTTTCTTTGTTTTTCATCCAAAGTTTATTTGAATGCATTATTTTTGAAACATATGATTCATGTACAAGGCTGCCTGCTGCTTGAGTTTGCCAAATACAGAAAACTTCTGAGTTTAACACTCAATGTTTTGTCTTTTAATGGTTACATGTGGTGTTTGCTTCTGTTTTGTTTTACTTACTTTAATGTGATTTGTCATCTTTTTAAATTATTAATAATTTGAAATGCTGGTCTTCGTCTTGCTACAGTGTTGCTTTTAAAAGCAGCTGAAACATACCACATGCCCTTGGGCCCATTTATCTGAGGAAGAATGCTCATGCCATTTTTAAAAAAAATGGTTCACCTCAGATGGAAAACACAGAGACAGTTTGCTAAATGTTTGTCAAGGTTTCACTCCTTTCTGTCATCAAGTGAAAAGTTTTTGGGATGTGTTCATATACAGTAATTATTCTAAAAGTTAAGGGTTTAACCCCAATTTTTGCTGTGCATTACAAGAGTTTGTGTGTACTTCTATTTTCCCCCTTTCATTGATTTTGCTCTGATCTTATGATTTGCATGCCAGTCATTTCGATCAGATTAAGTACTTTCATCAATGAGGACTTCATCTTCAATACAAAGTCATGTTTTGGTTTGCTTTCTCAGACTTTTTGGTGAAACTCAACCAATCCTGTGTCCTCTGCATTTATGTTAGGTGTTGCTCAGGTTTAATTGCTTCCCATGTACACATTGATTAATCTAAACTGTGTTTTTGATGCCATAGGGCAAAGAAAATGGAGATAATTCGAGACATGCTTGGATTAAAGCTGGGTAAGTTTCTCTTTAAGCATTATTGCTAGTTGATAGTTGCATTGCTGTATTTTACTTTTTCTCTTTTTTTTTTATGGAAATATTTATGAAAATATAGAATTCTTTATAAGAAGTTAGTGACATTTTATTTACGCATTCGTTGTCTGTGTATTAATTATTAAGCATGGAAAATACTCCTGTACAAAGTGTTGATATCCACAGAAATGGGAGTGGAATATTTGGAATTGACAGTATGCCAGACCTTCGCAAGAAAAAAGCTATTCCTCTGGTTAGCGATGTGGTAAGTACTCTTTCCATGTGGCCTCACCTTGCATTAAAATGAACAAAAGCTACAAATGCTTTTATTATAATTCTCAACATGGTATTGTTATCCAGTAGGAACAGCATCAGTCCAAATCTTGCTAAAATATTACTTGTTCAATCTTATAACATAAGGTAAAGACAATATTAAGTTGACAAATCTGGTTCAGACAAAAACGTCAGAATATGAGCAGTTTTAAATTTCGTAAGCAATAAATGACAACCATTATAACTGTTAATTCTGACTCGGAAAGATATGAAGTGAAGTAAAACAACTCTCTGATCTCTCTCCTCCCCATGAAAAACATAAAATTAAACCTCTACAACTCTTTTGAATGCATTCACTCTGCATGGTCAGGCTATGGTAAGTTTTGAGAATAACCCATATGACTGAACCTACTTTTGTGTATATCAAGATAATACTGCATCCACAGGGTCAGTATTGCTGTAATAGTTTGCAAATACACAGCTAGAAAACATGAAATTGCAAAAGTAGGCTGTTACAATGAAAAAAGAATGGCTAAATAACTTCTGCCAATACCATAAATATATGGATTATGATATTACAATAATTTTTTTTTAATATATTTTAATGAATGTATTTGCAAACCATTTCAACCTTACTTGATATACTATATACATAAGCAAGATAGCAAAAAATGGTTCTTTCCACTGGTTTACTTTTATTAGTTTTACTTTTCCTCCAACATCACTTTCAAAGGGCTGTTTCAAAGCGGGTTGTTTGATTCTATTTTAACAGGGTGTTTTAGATGCTTCTGTTCATACCTAGGCTTATCAGTAATGGTTTGTTTTCTTCATTAACCCCTCATCCCCTTACTGCACAGACATTGGTTTCCACTTTGATTTCTGGGACTCCCATAGTCACCACCCCTAGTTTTGAAGTTCTGGGTTTTTGCTCTTTGGCTTAGATGTTTATTTTTGACATCTAGATTCCACTTGGCTTCTGGCATATCTTTTACCAGGGGTGTTTTAAGAGATTTTCAACTGGTTTGCACTGTTCTAACATTTATTCTTTGTATGATAGTCTCTGGTCCAAGCCAGAAAGGCTGGCATTGCATCGGCGATGGCCTCGCGCTCCTCCATAAAAGATGAGGAACTGGTTAGTTTAACTTCTGTCTGTTTCTGACTATATTAAAGAAGTATTTTATAAATAAATATTTGATCACTTTTACTCTTTAACTTCTACAGAAGAACCATGTGTATAAGAAAACGCTGCAAGCTTTAATCTACCCCATTTCTTGTACAACACCTCATAACTTTGAGGTGTGGACGGCCACAACGCCCACCTACTGTTACGAGTGTGAGGGGCTTCTTTGGGGAATTGCGCGGCAGGGCATGCGCTGCACGGAGTGCGGGGTCAAATGTCACGAGAAGTGTCAGGAGCTGCTGAATGCAGACTGCCTGCAGCGTAAGTATGAGCACCTGTGCTATGTCTGAAGCAAAAGACTTGCTTGACGGCTTCCTACCTTCATCTGCTGCCTGAGAAAGCCACATTTGTGGGGTTCAGACACAGCCTGGGTTACTGGTGCTTTCACTCTAAGTCAGACAGTGAGATGACATTGTTTTTTACATTACGTTTTATATTAGACATGTGCCCTGTTGAACTCATTTACCCAAATAGACTTCCTTCAGTGACATCTTCCTTGTTGACAGGTCCATTAGCCAAAATTAAGAAAATGATTTAGAGGTGATGCTCACCGTAAAATAATCATCACACACATATTTTATAAGACAGGGTGTTTATTGGATTTATGAGCTTGCCATATTTTACAGTTGTTGTTTTTTTAGGGTGTTTTGACATGGAGGATTTTTTTGCAAATGGAAAATCTCATTCAAGTGCTTTAATTGGATTTGTTTTTAATAGTAATAAAAACAAATCCGTAAGTAATTTATTTAATGAATGACATTTTTATCCTACTATCATACATATCTATACTTATTTTTTTATTATTTTGAAATATTGTCGTTTTTTTTATTTGTTGAATTTTTTTTGTTTGCGTTTTATTTACAGTGTCATTAATCCAGTCTCCACAAATAAAAATGTTGTTAACCATCGTTAACTTTTTAATTCAGGCGCGGCAGAAAAGAGCTCCAAACATGGTGCAGAGGACCGCACTCAGAACATCATTATGGCCATGAAGGATCGCATGAAGATCCGTGAGAGGAACAAGCCTGAGATCTTTGAGGTCATCCGAGATGTGTTTGTGGTCAGCAAGGCTATCCATGCTCAGCAGATGAAGACCATCAAGCAGAGCGTCCTGGATGGAACGTCCAAGTGGTCAGCCAAGATCACCATCACAGGTTCAAAAACTGATCATTTACATTGCCATTTTTCTGGAAATGGCATTCCATTTTTACTCAATTTAAATGCTGCAATTTAAAAGTCATTCTAAAATTCAGTTCTAAATGATGCACGATGAAAATTCTCTTCTATGCCTCGATGACTTCCCGTCTTCTAATCTGTCTTTGTTATAGTTGTCTGTGCTCAAGGACTGCAGGCTAAAGATAAGACCGGCTCCAGTGACCCCTACGTGACTGTCCAGGTGGGTAAAACCAAAAAGAGGACCAAGACGATCTACGGCAACCTCAATCCTGTCTGGGAGGAAAAGTTTCATTTGTAAGTATAATTCGACCTATCATAGACCATCTCTTTGATTGAAGTGTCACTCTTTGCTCCTTTGTTGCCCTAGGCTTGCTTACTCAGAATGTGTGTCACCCAGTTTTTGATCCAGTCTCTTTTCAGTAGTGGAATCAACTTGTCTGAGTGAACAGGCTGTGGTTGAGCCACTGGCCTGTTTTTAATATTATTCAATCCAATCATATCTTAAAGGGATAGTTCACCCAAAAATTAAAATTCTGTCAATAATTAATCACCCTAATGTCGCTCCAAACCTGTACGACCTTCATTCATCATGGAACACTAATTAAGATATTTTTGATGAAATCCGAGAGATTTCTGACCCTGCATAGATGGCAATGGTACTACCATGTTCAAGACCCAGAAAGGTAGTAAGGACATCGTTAAAATAGTCCATGTGACATCAGTGGTTCAACCTTAAAGGGGTAGTTCACCCAAAAATGAAAATTGTCATTAATTACTCACCCTCATGTCATTTCAAACCTGTAAAGGCCCGTTCACACCAAGCACGATAACTATAAAGATTACGATAAAGATATAGTTAAAAAAATCATTCTCAATATAAAAAAATAGCATAGTTCACACCACAACTATAACGATAACAATACAGCGGAACGATATCGTTGTGATCACTTTCAAAACTATTTTTCTCCAGCTGATGAACGATAAAACACTGACAGCCAATCAGAATCCATCCTGCTGTAACGAGCTCAAGAATTTAAAGTGGTAGACGCATGTTCGCTTAGAATAAACAGACGATATCGTTCGCGATTAAAAATAACGACTCTATTCAAAAATTTGTCTCCTCCGCGTCATCCTATAACACCATTTTGGAGAGTATCACATATGTAAACAACGTATGCTGTTCTGTGTCAGCAGCACCATATGCTGTTTACATTGTTAACGCTTTGATCTGAACGTAAACAACGTATACACACGTGCAGACGTTGTTTACGTACGTGATACTCTCCAAAATGGCGCTATAGGGTGACGTGGAGGAGACGAATTGTTGAATAAAGTCATTATTTTTGTTTTATTTGCATGCACAAAGTATTCTCGTAGCGGTTGAACCACTGATGTCACATGGATTATTTTAACAATCTCCTTGCTACGTTTCTTAGCCTTGATCGTGTTAGGATCTTTGCTGTCTATGGGAGGGTCAGAGAGCTCTCGGAATTTGGAACGACATGAGGGTGAGAAATTCATGACAGAATTTTCATTTTTGGGTGAACTATCCCTTAAATTTTTTGAAGCAATGAGAATACTTTTTGTGCCTAAAGAAAACAATAATAATGACTTTATTTAACTATTTCTTCTCTTCCGCGTCAGTCTTCGACACACGTTCACAAGAGTACCACGACTCATGCATGTGCATTCCTCTGATTGAAAACAAGGCGCAGTGAATCTGGGTTCTATGTCAGAATTCTGGCTCCTGTGTCAGCAGCACCACAAGTATGCGTCATAGTACTCTCCTGAACTAGTAAACAGTGAGAATTGGTCCTAAAGATAGTGTTACCAAAAATTACATTAGTTTACGACTCACAAGGAATAATAGTACAATTTATAATTTTTACTTTTCTTAAGGTGTATTTGTGTGCGGTGAACAAATGCAATCTTTGGAGGGCACAGCCTACAAAGTCAAACATGCGTAGTTTCTGATCTTTAACACCGATTGTAAAGATGTGTTTGTCTTCCAGTGAATGCCACAACTCCTCTGATCGCATCAAAGTTCGTGTTTGGGATGAAGATGACGACATAAAGTCACGAGTAAAGCAGCGTTTGAAGAGAGAATCTGATGACTTCCTGGGCCAAAGCATCATTGAGGTTCGCACACTGAGTGGAGAAATGGACGTCTGGTACAACCTCGGTAAGCCCTCAACTGGTGCTTTGTATGTTCTTAGTTTTATTTGTATTTTTTTTAACATTGAGCTTTAGTGTATAGGCTGCACCTTGTCCTGATCTCTCTGCAATAATGTAGAAGTTCAGGGAAGTGCAGGATATGCAGGAGCTTGACTTCACTGTGCCAACAACCGGCAGCATTTCAGTCATATTAAAGTTGACTATTGGATTCCGAATGTTGGAATGAAACCATTGAAATGTTTACACTGATCCAACAAAATTTGGTATAGGCTGGGGTTTGTTGTGTCAGTGTAAACTAGCTGTAAGAGCAAAGCATCTCCTCAGACGACACTGTGTGCTGTCATTGTGGCTGGATGCATCTTTTTAATGTGTTTGGTCCTTTGTGGAAAACCTCTCTGCCGTGCTTTGACTTCTCTATAAAAGGAAAGAGGTTATTTTGTTGCTAAAATATTTAACCCAAGGCACTTACAGAGCACAAAACATTCACATTGACTTGTATACTTGTTGTAGGGACAGTTCACCCCAAAAAATGAATATTCTGTAAAGATGTACTCATCCTCACCGTTCTGAACTCATATGAGTTTCTTTTTTCTGTGGAATACAAATGGAGAAATTTTGAGAAATGTTCACGCTGATCTATTCCATATAATGTCAGTTTTCTTTGTTAGTATTAGTATGTGGTTTGACAGTCTCCTGACATCATGCAAATGTATTTTAGTTCTTTGTAGTACAAGAAACACCACTATAATGAATTGTGGGACTTGCTCATGATGATAAATGGTGTAGACCACCTCTCTGTAAGTGGGACGTGGCCCATGCGTCTAAGATTTGTGTGTATACTCCATTACCCATATCTTCCAACCTGACAGCACGTCCCTTCTCGCCCAATTACCCCAGTGTGCAGTGGCCCAGAGGCCTCCAGGACGTCCCAACCATGAAATCCACTGTTCCAAATTCTGTTTCTATCTCTCACATTTTTCACATTTCATTATTATTCTGATGTAATCTAGCCTTCGTTTATTCTCTTATTTCTGTTGTCCTCATTTGTACAGTCCGTTCTACTGTTCTGATTGTTTTTCCTCTGAATCTCTGGCCACCACATCTGCAGTAACAATTATTCTCAATAGTAGTAATTCAGCTACATGTCCTCTTGTTAGTTTCTCACCAGTATCATCCTCTCTCTCTCTCTCTCTCTCTCTCTCTCTCTCTCTCTCTCTCTCTCCTTCGAAACAGATATCCTCCTTGATTATTATGTAGCCCACTCCAGTCGGAAATTCACCACTTAGCTGACACACACAAATTATCCCAATAATTTGCCTGTCAGGGGAAATGGTTCAGGGAAAGAAGAACCCGGCGTTTCTATAAAAAAAAAACTCCTAAGGATTTTTCAGTTTGGAGAGAGAAAAGCTGAATATCAAATATGAAAATAATAAACATTCTGATTGTAAATTGTCTGTAAGTACAAACCCTGTGACTACACATTCTGTATTTATGCACCAAATTGTTTGCTATAATGTTGTTGGTATTGTTGTTATTGTTTTATATAGCAGAAATTAAAGAAATATTAGATGAAAATCTTAAACTTAAAATTAAAATTAGGTCGGCGCCAATAGCCTCGTTGGTAGCACGCCAACATATAGTGGCTGTTGCGCTTCGGGCATCCTGAGTTCGAGTCCCGACTTGTGGACCTTTCCCGTTCCTGATCTCTCTCTCCCACTTTGCTTCCTGTCTTATATGCTGTCCTATCATAATAATAAAAATAAAAGGCAAAAACGCCAAAAATAAATCTTTAAAAAAATTTAAATTAGAAATGCTGCCATAGCAGCTAACTGAAATAAATTAAGTTTAAGTACTAAAATGACTAAAACTGAAATTAAAATGAATAAAGATAAATTGAAAAAAAGCAAATAACAGATTGACTAAACCTTAAACTAAAATTGAGGG